ACATTTATATACAACTTATGAAGCAACATATACCTTAAAATGCTTCGTTTCGAAAATATGGCCGAAAAACGGTTTTTGGCTTGACGCAGTTCAAATTTCCGTGATTTTTGGCATTTCCGCCTAGGAAGGTCGTAGAGACTATTCTGATACACTAAAATGTACATAATGGCCACATTTATATACAACTCATGAAGCAACATATACCCTAAAAGGCTTATTTTCGGAAATGTGGCTGAAAAACGGATTTTTGCCGAGCAAACAATGACAATATTCACAAATTAAATGGGCTATTGGACTGTTAACTAGAACGGTCTTAAAGACTCATGAGCAACATAGCATTTGTCACAAGATGTAAGATGAGTCACTTTGTGTCCAGAAACACCTACTTTATTGGGCATCTCTCTTAATGGGCCAGGCCAGCAGCATATTAATTGTGTCTTACGAAAGGGCGATTTTTCAAAATTACGGTTTCTCTAGTAAAGGTCAATGGTTCAGTTGCTAACAGACAACAGTAAATTGTTTGGAATTGCCGACTCATGCACATCATATACTCAAAAACGCTCACTTTAGGATTGATTAGTAAATAAGTTTAACTACTGCATGATTTGTGATAACTCCAACAATTTTTTAATTGGCACCAATTTAGCCAAAATGTAATGACCAAAATTCAACTTTCTATTTATTCATGCCATGAAACTTAACCATGATATGTACTAAGAATACCGGACCTAAAATAATTCGGCACTGTTTCCGGGCCAGATTGTTGCTTGACCACTGACCAGTACTGACCAGTACTTCAGAATGACCCCATATCCTTTTTTTCAGTCGCATAGATTTTCCCATCGTATGATAATGCATGTCATTGACTGGCTAGTTCTTCTGTTATTACAGCAGTGAGCTGCCTCGAGATCTTATCTGGGGCATGGGCACAAATACTAGAACATTAAAACAGTAATTCTAGAACCTCAGATAAAGGTGACTTGGAAGAAAAGCATTAGCAGGGTTCGAGATTTGACTGAGGGCATTCAGGTAACAAACCAGGTTCATATCACCAGTTGAGGTGAATCTTTATTTCGGCATGCAATGCCTTATAAGTCATAAGCTTATAGTAGGATCACGGGGTTTATATAATACAGAAGGTCTCGAGATGCTAATTTGGCTATTTAGATTTCACATGTGAACTTTTTCCAGCTGTGGGTAAAGTGGATTTTAGAGCGGGGAGGGGGTCTTAATGACCAAAATCTGAATGATCTCTTACTTACGGGACACTACGGGACCAGGGAGGGATCTCGGGCCTAATAGCTGGAGTCTGCACCTAGATGGTCAACGTGAGGATAGCATGAGGATTTAGGATGCTCTGCCTGCCTTTCATAAGGTCTTGTAACCCCGAAAGCTGGTATATCTTATCTAAATTAACCTTGGTTACATCCCGTGCTGTTTCGAATATATTAGATAAATTATATTATGATTAGATTTATAGGTCCAATATCAAGCAAAAAGTCTGATCTCCGGTACTGATGTTACACTTACATGATCTCCGACGCGAGGATCTCCGAACTCTGATCTTAAAGTTGAATCTCAGAGCCAAAAAGAGGAACTTAAGCCTCGGTTCCTCTCTTTGAGAGTCAAACAGGAAACTCGGTGTTATCAACTCAAAGTCGGATTCGTAGCACAATTGAAAACCAAAGAATAAAAATCTTAATGAATTCCCGACATCCTAAAATTAATATCAGGTCGTATTCGATTCAGTGGCCCAAACTCCAGTAGGTTACAAGACTAAAGTTCAAGTCGAGGAACACTTTGATTAAGCATGATCCTTGTGACAAGGCTTGTCTAGTTGGAATTTTCGCATGCAGTAGGCCAGTAGTTATCTACTAATCACTCCTAAACTGAGCGTTTTAGAGTCGAATCTCGGACCCTGCCATTCGGCCAAGTAATCTTAATCTGAAGTTCTATAATTATAGTTCTAATGTTCTAGTACTAATGTATTAGTGTCCTAGATAAGATCTCGAGGCAGCTGTAATAACAAAAGAGCTTGCCAGTAACCACTTGACTAAAAACGAGGAAATGACACACATTATCATACGATGGTAAAATCTATGCGAACCAAACCACTGGAGTATTATTAAACTGCGGCCAACAGATCTCAAACCAGGGATTACAGACCAGTATTGGTCGAGACAGCGAAATCAATCATAATTTTAAAGTGGGGTACTGGTCAGCGGTCAAGCAACAATCTGGGCCGGATCCAGTGCCGATTTATTTTAGGTCCGGTATAGTATTCTTGGTACATATATCATGATTTCATATAATATAAAGTTTGAAGTTGAATTTTGGTCTGGCACATATTATATTTAAAAATTAAATTGGTGCCAAGGAAAAATTGTTGGAGTTTTCACGAATCATGTAGTAGTTATTTACTAATGACTCCTAAAGTGAGCGTTTTTTAGTACATGATGTGCATGAGCCGCCAATTGCGACCAATTCGCTGTTAGCTGCCGACCCTTTGACCTTAAGAAACCGTAATTTTGAAAAATCGCCCTTTCGTAAGACACAAATATGCTGCTGGCCTGGCCCATTAAGAGAGATGCCCAATAAAGTAGATCATTCTAAAAAATTTTGTAGGTGTTTCTGGACACTAAGTGACTCATCTTACATCTTGTGACAAATGCTATGTTGCTCATGAGTCTTTAAGACCGTTCTAGTTAACAGTCCAATAGCCCATTTGTGAATATTGTCATTGTTTGCTCGGCAAAAATCCGTTTTTCAGCCATATTTCCGAAAATAAGCCTTTTAGGGTATATGTTGCTTCATGAGTTGTATATAAATGTGGCCATTATGTACATTTTAGTGTATCAGAATAGTCTCTACGACCTTCCTAGGCGGAAATGCCAAAAATCACGGAAATTTGAACTGGGTCAAGCCAAAAACCGTTTTTCGGCCATATTTTCGAAACGAAGCATTTTAAGGTATATGTTGCTTCATAAGTTGTATATAAATGTGGCTATTAGGCACATTTTGGTGTATCCGAATAGTCTTTAAGACTTTCCTGGACTGAAATACAAAAATTCGAGTGACCGTGAAACCCTGAAAAAGGGTGTGGCCGAAAACGCCCTTATTGCATTTATTTCAAAAATGCAATAAAGTCCAAATGTTTTAAGAATCATCTAGAGAGTTGATAACCGTTGAGAAAACGCTTTTAACACGAAAAGCTAACGAGATAGCCTTTTAGAACGGTTGGGATCCGACTATTAGAAGTATTTCATTGCACAACTGGAGCCGCTATTTTATAATCATACGGACTTTTCCTGCAACCCTCACCCCCCCCCCCCCCCCCCAGACATATAATAATCCTATAATAGATTGAGGAGTCTGAAGAAACGTAAGACTGGTTAGAAGTCGACTGAAATCCGATAGAAACTATCCGCCCAGGAATTGCCACTGTCCACCAACTAACCGGTCACTCATCATGGCACAAGTCCAAGATTTTAAACCGTTTTTTCTATCGTAACTCCAGGATTTATCAAAATTTACCAAATTCCGAGTTGACCAACCTATGCGACCCATGTTGAGTTATGTCAAGACTTGACGGAGCCATCAAATCTTCTCATCATGACCACCCCAACATTCGAGATGAACAGCTGAGAGGAGCTGTCAGAATTCTACAGTTTTAAATAAAAATGTTGCTGATTTCACTCTGTAGAATTTATTAGATAATAGCCTCAAAATGTGCATTTGTTTGATAAAATATGATTGAAAGGTTCATGAATTAAATTGAGGGCTTTCTCTTTTAAAATATATAAGATTTCATTGTATTGCGGGCCGGACTTTTCGGCGCAGACTGACACCAAAAAGTTGTGGCACAGTCCCAAGTTTTATATTATGGAGCTGAGTAGATTCCAGTTTTTGAAGATTTCAGGTTTTGACTTCCTTCTAAATACAGCACATGACCTGTGATAACCGTATTTTGTAAAACAGAATCTCGTGGGTGTGTCATTTTGGAGAGTGTAATTTCTTTTCACAATTTTCTACTATTCAGTCTTGTTGAGCTGCCTGCAAATTCATCAGATTTATAACACCGAATAAACGTTTTTGTAATCCAAGTTATTCAAATACAGAACACAGGAGCAAGTACGTATAAGCAATGTTTTTATTTATTTGACGGTCTCTCTCACCAAATAAACATTCATTTTATTAGATTAATCCACTAATTAATGTTATGAGCATTTGGTTTTATACATGATTCTGAGTTCAAAATACTTATTTAATTTGTTTAATGTGGGTGTGTCATTTTGGGGAGGGTAATTTCTTTAACAATTTTCTACTATTCAGCTAGTCTTGACGTATTAGTGCCGTATTTGTGACGTATTTGTGACGTATTTGTGACGTATTTGTGACTCGCTCACAGGATAATGTAGATTTGCGTTATAACTTCTGTTCATATTCCTTTGCATTGGAGATGGTTACATTTCATGATCAATGGGGTCTCTTATCAGTTATCTTGATGATAGCTGTTTAACAACAGCTGTTGTTTACACTTTACAGTAGCGCTGTTGACACTTTTTAGCTCAGTTTTTAGTTTTGAGCAGTTTCGTGGTTTCAAAGAGATAACTTGTTTGCAAGAAGAGATAATTGTTATGTTTTTACTTTTTTGTCTGCAACCAATCTCAGCTGAAAACTTTTAAACGTACAGTTTTTGATGGCCTTGCTATATTTGCCCTTATATGGCCTTGCTATATTTTCCCTTATATGGAAGTATACCCCGTTTTGTTAAGACTTGAATAGATAGGTAGTTTGACAGATTTTGCATTGCAGCATATGAAACACATAAAACAATACCATATCTAAACAATGAACGTACATTATTTATTGAATAGAAAATGATATCAGATCCAAACAATGGATGTTAAACAGATTAAGATCTACTTCTCATCGGACAAATGTCAGATCTAAACAATGAATGTACACAATATTGACATTGAGATTAATACTTTCAATAGTACTATATAACAAATAATTTGAGGAAACGATGTCAATATATTTTAATGTTGCCATGGGGTGGCAAGTCCCCATACATCGTAGTCCGATAGTTTCACTGCGTCATAGTATCTAAATACGATCATATCATCTAACTCAGATTGTCCTAATTTAGCTTATGACAATTTGACCAAAAACCCAGAGAGTGGACCACTGCCAGTGTCTCTCTTTCCCACACAAAAGTAAATGATATTAATTTGAATGACCGTCTGCAAATGCAAAATGATACCGAGAATGAAATCGGTCACTTGCTTTTCCCATTCATTCACGGCTTACGAATTTTTTTAAAAATTACAATAAATATTGGCAGAAAGTACAGTGAAGTTTTGACATTTAGTTATTTGTTTTATGGAAATATTAGACGTTGTTTTTACCACTCGTTGTTTCAAACTTTATCTAATTACAAATCATCTGAACATATCACATCAAATAAATCAAGATGAACATTGAACATTGTATCGACTTTTAAATGAACTCAGTCTGAATGTTTGTCAGGGGTGTAGGAAGAGGGGGGGGGGGGGCAGGGGGGTAGGGGCAGGGGGTAGGGGTGTAAGAAGAGGGGGGGGGGGGGGGGCAGGGGGCAGGGGGGTGGGCTTTTCGGTTTTATACACCTTTGAGAGTCCCCAAAATATTGTCCAGTCCTCTACTATCTAAGCTCATATTGTCCATACTACATAAATAATAACTTTTATTTCTTTGAAAGTCGGTTCACGTACTGTAGTGCGACACGTACTCTAGTGCAACACGTACCCTAGTGCGACACGTACCCTAGTGCGAAACCATACTACATAAACATAACTTTTATTTCTTTGAAATAAAATGATGTATTTGTGTAACAATTTGAAAGTTTATTAATTAAAAAAATAATTGACCAAACTATATGAAATAGATCAGGATGTAAGCACAAGAGAACTAGCTGAGTTACACAGGTGAGGTCACACGATGTGTTTCGACTGTTTGAGTACTCCAGAGGAGGCTGAACAGCGGAGACAGAACCAGGAGATTGACAAGATGATTGTCACGGACAGGAAGACGGACGAGAAGATCGTCAAACTCTTACTTTTAGGTCTGTAGATGATGTGTATTATTTTTAACTGTATGAAATTTCTGTTTTTTACTTTTAAAGGTTGGAATATCTGAAATACTTATTTAGCCAGTTTGGATGACGTCATGACGTTCAATCTGTTCTGCGTCATGCAAATATATGCAAATATATGCAAATATATACAAATATATGCAAATTTATATGCAAATATTTGCAAATTTCCACTTATCTAGAAAGTTCTAATACAGCATTGAGTAATATTTTGTAATATGAAACTTATCATACATCTTCAATGTACATCCTTAAAAAATTCGGCAGAACTTAGTCTCCCGAAATTTCTTGACATTATATTTGTGGCTCGTAAAAATGAACTCATCTAGATATGTCCCACAGGATCCGGAGAAAGTGGTAAAAGCACGTTCATCAAACAGCTGAAAATCATCAAGGGATCAGGATTTGAGGAGCACCTCCGGGCTGAGTTTGTGCTGGTGATCAGGAGTAATTTACTGCAGGCCTGTAGGAGTATTTTATCTGCCATGGCTGTCTTGTACATCGAGTTTGAGTCCCCGGTTTGTCTTTTACTCTTGGTAGTTTTATCTTGGGATCATTTATTTTGTATCATATTTGTATATAGTTTCATGCAGACAAGCCGCCTACCAGTTGTCTGAATGTTGCCCACCATTTTCAAGAAACCCATTCAAAGTCTCAAAATACCTATTATACTCTGTAATGGCTTACTCCATTTGTTACACAAGAAAAAACATTCAGTTACCAATTTTAATTTAACCAAGCTTTTTACCCGCAGGAAGCTGATGCTGAAGCCAAAAAAATCATCCAACTATTGAACGAGGAAGCAGCTAACGTGACAGCAGTAGACGCGATAAGGATCAGTCCGGGTCAACTAGCTTCCGTTTCCAACTCTATAGTCACGCTTTGGAAGGACGAGGGTTTCAGGCAATGTTTCAGGAGAAGTAAAGAGTATCAGCTCATAGACTCCGCTAAATACTATTTGGATAAAGCTGGTCAGATCTGTGATGCTGGTTTCAAACCGACAGATCAAGATATACTCAGGTTAATTTTACGAATATTATTTTACGAATATTATTTTATATTGTATTATTATTATTAATATTGAACATGGTTTGACCTTTTGGGATGATTGCTAGTTAAGGATATATTTTTATATTGTTTCATGGTAGGGAATCTTTGGAGCTTCAATCTATATTGCCCCTGAACGTGAATTTTGTAAATATTATAAATCGCTCTCAGCTTAGTTACAACAACACAACTTTACAGATTTATGACTAAATTTCCAACATTCAGATCACGTAAGATGACGACAAACATTAACGAGTACATGTTCGACATTAAAAGAGTGCAACTCAAAGTAATAGACGTAGGGGGTCAAAGAAAAGAGAGACGAAAATGGATATCATGTTTCGATAATGTTACTAGTATCATATTCTTGGCCTCGCTGTCTGACTATGACCTTAAGTTAATGGAGAATGAAACTACCAACAGGCGAGTAGAATTCTTTTCTTTATTAATTTTACCGACTAATAATTTGACTGTGTAGGGATCCTTAAATATGGATAAGGTGAATAATTGTAGCCGCAACAAATCCGAGCAGTGAAACTTCGAGTGTCATTAACATTAAATCAACAAATTTGGTCATTGTGAACCTATTTTGCAGAATGAAGGAAAGTTTAGACCTATTTGCCACGATCCTACAATATCCTTGGTTCAAGAAGAAGAGTATCATCCTCTTCCTTAACAAGACGGATCTATTCGACGAGAAGATCCACTTCTCTAACATAGCCGACTATTTCCCAGAATTTAAAGGGGAACCTAGGGATGCTGAAGCGGTCAGATTATGTTAATTCTGTTAATTATGTTAATTATGTTAATTATGTTAAATATGTTAATTATGTTAATTATGTTAGTTATGTTAATTATATTAATTATGTTAATTATGTTAATTATTTTAATTATTTTAATTATGTTAATTTCAGCCTCTTCAATTAACATAGTGTGGACAATAGCGTTTTATATTTATAATCCAACTAAAGAAATATTATCGTTTAGTAATAGTTTTACATTAAAATTAAATTGCGTACTAGTATAGGTAGGTAATCAAATCGAAATAACCGAAATCGTCCTGATTCGATTTATTTCTTGTCTGAACAATATACGCAAAGTACCAAATTTTTCTTATTTTCAGGCCAAAGCATTTATAAAGGGGTTGTACGAAGAGAAAAAGCCGCCGCCTCACGAGGGGCCGGACGCCACGCACATCTTTCCGCACTTCACATGCGCCACAGATACGGACAATATCACCAAAGTTTTCAAGGACGTTCAAGAGATAATCCTCAGATCGTATTTGAATGAGTTCAACCTCGTGTAATAATCACATTGATTTCTAGATCTCTCAATATTATCATCAGTTTTGTGAAGCCACTGACGATCTCAATCATTCTGTAGGACCGACAGAATTTGTCGGTTTTGTACTTAAATATCTCCTATCAGATCAAACTTAAGGAGTTAAGGATTGGTGCTTGTTGAATCTGAGAAAGAATAGCTGGTGGTTCGTCTCGTCGGTTGTATGTCAATATAAGTAAATTTAGGTTTTGTATTTCTTCTTGATTGTGAATAGTGATTATCTTTCCCCGCAATGACAATGATCTTGACTTTTATCTAAATTATTTCACCTTTGATGATTTCACTATCAAACTTTTCAGACCAGTGTTGTTCGCCGAGTGTTATATACATATAGTCGTCGGGTCATGATATTACGCCGTGAAACGGCAGGGTGTAAAATTTCACTTAATATATGTATTAGCGTTAATTTTCTACCACTAGCTTAACAATAATAGTCCACAATAATAATTCTATATGTTTTAAATAGTACTCAAAGAATGCAGTGAGTATTGAAGTCAAATCCTTCATAATATATTAATTGGCCACAAATTATGAAAGCCGTCACTGGTCCATTTCCGAACACGGTAGAGAACACTGTTTCAGACGATTGATTTTGTTGAGGAGCGTATTTGTTTTGAGATATAATTATTTTTGTTTGTGAATGATAATTGATTAAGCAGTGTGAACTATCACGTTGTTGATAATATCAACAATCTCATATCTATTGTTGACTTCTTTTTTGAAACACAATTGAATGAAAAATATTAATGAATGGAAAAGTTTAAAAGTCGTTTTTATATGATAGTTGACGTAAAGTCGGTATAAAAGCAGCCTTGTTATCTTTTATTTGGTAGGGCAAGTGGTTACAATAGAATTCACGTTGACAGTCAAGGTTAAACGTCAGGAACTGAGACACTATAGTTGAATGTAATTGTAATGTTAAAGGAGCTGTTTAATTTTTCTTTAATTTTATGTTTTAGTCCTAAGTACTGTAATAGCGTAATTAAGTCTGTAAAAATTAGCATCAGATCAGAATTATAGATTGTAATTATGAAAACTGAACAGGTTTTGTTGTTACGATAATCGAAGTTTGTTGTCTCAACCATTTTTTTGTTAACATCGACTTTAAGAAAGCAAAGCAGCCTAGTTGAAATTAAATACAAAATGTTCGAAATTACCTAAACTAGGCTTGTCCATGCTGGCGCAAACCAATTTTTGTATCTTTTATCTATCACTTGATTTAAGTCAAATATATACGTTTTTGATGTGAAGGGATCAACAATAGCATAAATAAATTTTCGGTTGGCTCTAAGTCTAAGTGGCAGGATAACTTTGTGAGTATAACTGTATAACTACAAACTAAGTCAGGATAGATTTGGGTGTTAGGGACGCTCTGAGATTCCTTTCCTAAACCAAAGCTTGCCCTCTGACATACTATTCCTACTGTTCCCAAAATAAGATGGATGGTCATAATAATCATATCCTGTCCAAACCCAGGATACATAAAATGAAGAATTTGTTGTATTTTGTATGAAAAGCATTAATAAAATAAGTCATAATTACTCAGTACATATCTCAAAAAGTATGACTGGTGATGATTAACAGTTACTGGGCGGCGGTATATCCTAATTTCACTGACAGTATGCACGTGCAAACTGCAAGACTTGGTTGGACAGGTTGCTAGGTTACAAGAAAATACTAATATTTGTCCAACATGTGATCATTCAGCCGGTTTGATTGCGCTTTCATCGTACCCCTGCAAGTCCACGCTCCGAGACACAGTAAAGGATTTAAAGCATATTCATGATATTTAATCTATAGTCAATAGTCATAGACGAATCAATAACCATCGAAACCGTCGAATTCAAAAGTAGAGATGTCAGAAGATGACCAGTCAAATCCTAAGATTTGTAATAAGGAAGGATGTAACTTTTACAGTTCAAAACAATACGGCGGATTTTGTTCGAGCTGTGCCCGGAAAGAGGATGTGGTCATCAAGAAAGATAATCTCCAATCCGAAGGATCAACTGCAGATTCGATTCCAAATATACCTTTAACTTTAAGTTTAACAGCTTTATCCAGACGGCCATCGATGGCGGGACGTAAAAGAAAATCAGAATCGCTTGAATTTGAAACAGATGACACTGACAGTGGTATAGTTGAACTTGAAGCATTATCACTATCTGCAGTTCATCAATCTACCTCTTGTGAAGCAAAAGTGGAAGCTCATCATCCTGATAATCAATGCCCCGACAGTGATAAAACTGAGTCGGGGACAACAAAAAAACGAAAAATTAATCGGTGTCATGTTTGTTCAAAGAAAGTAGGTTTACTCGGATTTGACTGTCGATGTGGTGGGTTATTTTGTGGCCTACACCGTGGTGATCAAGATCATGCCTGCACTTTCGATTATAAGCCTCTGCAACGAGCAGAATTGGCCAAAAATAATCCGAAAATTGTAGCCGATAGAGTGACCAAAATTTGAATAACACGCACCTTGGGAGCTTGCTCACGATGCACGAAGATTTACTATATTGTCATTGAGATTAAAATAATTATGATAAATTCTTGACATTGTTATAGACTTTAAATTTACTAAAATTTAAAATAGAACTTATTTCTGAAACCATCATTATCAATCTCAAATTCGCCTAAAAGGAGGTTCATAATCAAACTATCCTAGTGATGTTTATTCCAGAATAACTGAGATAAGTTGTCCACGCAAGGAATGGCAAGATGAAGGCCACGGCCCATTTGTCTGCCTTCAGGAAGAAAGCAGTTGTCATGAATGTAACACCCCATGAAACACAAATCAGCGTTACTCCCTGTAAAAGAACAAGTTACCGTCCCTTTTCGATTTACATTTTAATAATTACAAATTATTAGTAACCAAGTGAAATAAAAAATTAATTTTCAAAAAGCCCAGGTCCCCTGATTTACTTAAACAAATGTAAAACGATAAATTTTTTATAACTACGCGAATGTTTAAGAATAAGATACTCACCGAATTAACAGAATCTGTGAAGAAGAAAAGGAATGCTAAAATGTAAGTGGGCACGCTTATTTCCCATGATGCTAATATTATGAAATTTTTCCTGAAATGAAATGAATTGGACATCTCACATTATGCTTTCAGTGCATGTGCTACGGCAAAGATGAAAGAGCTGCATTCCGAAGTTATAAAATTATGAATTTACGTTATCGTTATACGTTTCTTATTTCAAACATAGATTATTATAAATTTAGATTCTTATTTCTTAGCTGCAGCTGGGTATAATATTTAAAAACCTGTAACCGCCACATCTTCTCCAGACTATAAAGGCACCTATACCATGCAGTAGGAGAGTAACTAGCGTGAAGGATATCAGTATCTCCTTGTTAGGGGCGTCTGAAGGGTAGTCCTCTTTTACACTTTCATACCTAGAGACAAAATTGATCAAGAAACTCTCGATACCAAAATCATTCTAATGAATACGAAATGACTTTGTATCACCACCAACGGAACTAATCAGCTGCGGTAGTTCAAAACAGGAACAATCTTGTTATTAAAAAACATAGTAATACGTGTCACAAAGTTCAAAGTTATTCCACCGACCATTCCTCGGCAGAGTCCATGACCTCAAAGTACACAACAGTAGAGAAAGCGAGGGGTAAAACAATCAAGTGTAGAATCTGGAACCCATCGTTACAGTTGACACCGTGCCGTGTAACTGGAGCGTGGTGAGCTGTCTCCCCCCTGTACAATGTTTTCAGAATTGAGGTACAAATTAAGGGTTTATTTAAAGGCTTGAATGTTGGTTAAACCCCTACAATTTTGATTGATTTGGAAAGAGCATTAGCAAAGAATCACAATATAGTTTGTATCGTTGGAAACACTTACCAGCGCATGCTTTCTAAAAATTATCAATCCCCATAATATTATTTACTGCGACATCAAAACTACAAACCTATTATTAACAATGTGATCGTCAACAACTCTGCACTAACTAAAAACTCAAAGCAAACTACAAACTATGTGAAGCAGATCTTACAAAGTCTCCAACAAATAATTTGCCTCACTAAACCTTTAAAGGTAGACAATTTCAATAATATGTGGCAAGCCCGATCATGCAGGAATTTTGGAAGGTATAGAAGACTATATATAGCGATGGAGCCTGGAGGACAGTACTGCGGAGGACATTACCTAGCTTGCTAGTCTATTGCTCGCGTCTCTCACGTATCTCTCCTGTTCAGGAAGCTTGAAATTGAAAAGAGCGCCACGCTCAGGGATTGACGAGCCAAGTAAGGTGGAGGAGACTAAAGAAGAATTTTAAAAAATGGGTGGAAATAAGGTGGAGGAGAGCTAAAAAGGAATTTCTCAAAATGGGTGAAAAGTAATTTACAGCGGATAATATCGGAGGGTGATTGTTTCGCCTTATTCTATATATTATGGCAAACCAGTATCGTCACTACACCACATAAAGGTCCCCGAGTCCCGACCCCCGGCCCTGGAATTGAGCCCTCCTCATCGTGTTTTTGTTTGCCCCTTATTACAACATGCCATGTCTTTCTTTGAAAATTAAGTCAATACTATAGTTTGCCATGCCATGACACAATTTTAAAGTGGAAGAGAGAATCCACAACAAACTATAATATTCAATAATTTTTATTTACAACATTTTCAATCGACCGATGAAGACTCATATACGTTATAATACAATAATACCTTCGCTTCTTCGGGCTACGCGTAATAATTCCCGACAGCTTGCTGGAAATCTGCAAATTATCAGCTCTCAGTGTCGACGAGTTTTAGTGCATATAATTCCTGGAAATAGTTATAAATTATACAAACTCTGCTTTGGCCTCTGACCGAGTCATATACCAATGCCTCCAAATCTGTAACAACCTACTCTGGAGACTGGACTACAACTCTGAACTCATTGAGTAACCGATCCACTTTTAGTTTTCAAACCCCCGTCCAGGTTGAATGTTGATCCATTGACATCACGTGTCGTACAAATACATGTAAGCTCAACTACCTGTTTTATTTTACCTTAACAGCAACACTTGAAATGTAAGCATATCAATAATAGTTCTGTATTTTACCTTTCCGTGTTTGCCTTTTATTTTAGTGTAATTGTTAATTTTAATGTAGTTTGATAGTTGTGGACGAAGTGAGAGTCTCCACTCGGTGTTTCAAAACAATTAGTTGTCGACGTTTCTAATTGTTTTGAAACACTGAGTTGAGACTCTCACTTCGTCCCCAACAGCTATCGAACTATATGATGTTAATAAAATGATACCAGACACTGTTCCAGAAAAATATAAAATTCGCTGAATATAACTTTAACATTCCCATATAATATGACCTGTAACTTAAATTTGTTTAATCTTTAAGTCTGAGAAACGTAAATTTGCAGCGTTAATTTCTGTTTTTAAACAGTAAAACGGTGGCGTTCCGGCTATAAGGCAGGCCGGTAGCTGCGGTTTGATAAGCTATGTTTAACTTTTAAAACTCGTTTATATCGCCCTTCGTATTCAAAACGTTCTCAGTTATACAGTTATAATAGTTAAGCTATAAAAATTGCTAAATAAAACCGCACAAAATCATGATTCTATAACTATTGTAACACAGTCGTTAAAAAACACAGTTCACTGAGAGCCACCAAAGCAAGGTGCTATCTTATTCGGCCGTGCATAGCAGAAAGTACTCGTAAAACCAGAGATGGATCAAGAAAATGAGCATCCTACTATTGAGGTCCCTGAAGGGCCGGGCTCGGAGACCAACATGATGCAGGCCTCTAGTGGGCCACGTGATGCCCATATAAGGACAGATGTTGAAGAGCAAGGAGATGTTGGAGGGGAGGATGTGTTAGTGGAACAGGGGATTGTGGAGAATTACGCAGTTCCTGAAAACAAGGAAGAGGTGCAGCAATCTCTACAAACATGAATTTATAACACTTGTAACCATAGTAACTGCACTAACTAATTTATAACACTTGATATGTTTTCATAAATAAATAAATTCTAGAACTATCAACTAACCAAATAATGGTACTCTGCTTGACGGCATACCCCTTCACTTTAGCTATCTTATATGGTAGTGTTGCTATAATATATGGTAACACTACCATATAAGGTAATGCTAATCCTTCATTTTAGCTAGATAATTCCAGCGATCCGGGGTCGATACAATAAAGGGATTCATATTCGGAGGAAAGGAGGAGGATAATAAAATGGAGGATCAGGACCAAGGGGTTGTGTAAGTGATGGGGCAGTGGCACAATAAAATGAGTGTTGTGAGGCTCATCCTAAAGTCATTTGTTTGCACCAAATACGTTTGTTTCCACAAAATGTCATGGTTACAGTTGTCATGGTAATAGTAATCTATACAAATGCGTATCGTTTAAGATACTGCTTGATAGGGCAGTTTACCTTTTACCCTTTATTTCTCTTACTTACTTGGCAATGGCACTTTGTGACTTCCTGAATTGTGTTTGAAAGATTCACACAAACGGACACACATTTAAATCATGGCGACTCCCGAAAAATAAAATCTTATTAGAAGAATAACTCTTTAGTGTTACCATGGTAACAAACCTTTCTCAGGAGTGACCAGGAGAAAGTAAACGTGTTTCCAAACGTCCACGTGCCCAGTGTTCCTAGTGTTCATGTACCAAACTTTGCTGACATTCACCTAGGAGGTGGTGATTTGAGCAGGGTAAGATATTTCACTACATTTCATTTTTTTCGCTATATTTCACTATATTTTATTATATTTCACTACTTTTATTGACTGCGATCCTAATTATATTGACAGTAAACTGGTAGACTAAAGTAAACTATTTGGTTTGTGAAATAATGGCTTGGCTATTGAATATATTTATCACTATCATCTCAGATTTAAATAATATTCAAAAGAAATTTATTGTTAAAAGTCAATGATTCGTAGGAACAGGCAGAGTTAGAAGCAGCGGAAATACGAGAAGATAGCGAGGATGGTGATGAAATAGAGCTAGTCAAACATTTACCAACACTACCTCAACTCTTCGTACTCCTAGCCCTCACTGAGTTCTTCCTCAACTTCTTCCGCTTCATTGCTATCTGTACGGAACAATTGGGAAATGGATTCTTGGCTGCTTCTGAGGATTGGTTCCAAATTACTTCATGGTAGGTTCAAAATCCTTATATTATGGTAGTGTTACTATGGTAACACTTTACACTACCATATGAGGTTATGTCAATCCTTCATGGTAGGTTCAAAATCAAGCGAACAAAATGTGAAGGAAAATCATTTTCAAAGCCTTTAATTTGACTAACTGTAGAAATACAGGATAATATTGGTACCGTTCAGATGATCGATAAGCCATCATTGGATCCAAATTTCTAGAACGGCCAGATTCTAAACAATTAATTAATTATTAATAAACCAGATGCCTTGTCTGTAAAGTAACCATGGTAACCGGACACTCCCTCAGGATAGTGTTCCTGCTGATGAACATGTTCTGTTTCATCTACATGTTCTTCGTGAAGCGCTGTGCCCGGGCTGCTGGAGCCTCAACCCTCCTCTTCTTCCTCACCTTCGTCTCCCTCTTTGAAGCCCCCCTCACCACCTCCTACTACTCCCGGGCTTACCAAGCTACCTTCACTTTCTTCAGAGGCTTCCTCATTATGCTTATTACGGGCATGTATGCGCTAGCGTACAGGCAGGAGATTGTGCCTCCAAGAGACCACCTCCCTCCTGCCGTCAGGAACTTCGTTGTGAAGAACAGGATGGACGTGCCTTGAGGAGAGAGGAGAGGATAAAGTAATCAGTGTGAAGAAGGCTAAGACTTTTGGTTTATGGAAGAAGTTAAACTAAATGAGAGTTTCGTAGCTATGTCAGAGTTACCGTTATATATCTGATAGACGATAGTGGATAATAAAACGTTGCCTAGAATGTTTAGGTTTTCTGAATATCATTAAAAGTCAAAATTATACTGTAACAAACAAGAGGTTAACCTTTGTTGGATCGGCAATGCATATAATGGACCTTGGGCAAATATCAAAACCTACTCATGCGAGCGTCAAAGTTGCTAAAGCACATGTGGGCCTGTTTGGCTCGTTTTTTCTCAGTTTTATGATTTAGTTGAGTTCAATAAGTTTTATCCGTACATAATGTATTTCAATTCTTTTGTTTCAAAGATCTTTTTATAGCTTTTTTAGACTTACACAAAGATGTGGACTATATGAAAAAAATGTGTAAATTAGTAAAACTATAATTAAGAGATTAAGTAATTCAAATTTTTGTGATTATTTGTTGTTGTTTGTCCGATGCCTGGTAATAATTTCTGCTTTTATCACATTGTAGACTCAGTCTAAAAAGTGATTGGCTTATACGCGGCACAATTTCCTTATACACCTGAATCATCATGGCTTCCAATTTTGTCAAACTTATAAACCTGTTCTAAAATTACCCAAGGGGCTAAGAATTATTATTTGTTATTTCACCCCAAAGTCTGAACGACAATGGAGTAGCCGAGTACATACAAAATATGGTCAATACTCAGATGATTTTATCAATTTGAATTTAAAGCGCCGACAATGAGTGTTTTCATATTCATAACCTCAGTATAGTATACCGGCACTGTATTTTGAAGGTGATCTAATAACTGCGGCTATTTTAGGGGACCAATGTCATGGTTACAGTTGTCATGGTTATAGTAATCTATACAGATGACTTCTTGTTTAACTTCATTTAATGTCATATTAGTATTACGTGAATAAATTGTTTATAGATTGACTAGTTTAATTATTTATATTGGTGACTGAATGTTTATTGTGTTTACTGTTTAGCTTGATAAATTGAAGACTATCAGTGAGCTCTAATAACATGAATATTTACAACAACATATTATATCGATAAGATTTTTATTATCAATTTATTGAGTCCTTGGGACTCCTAATTAACTAAGCTTTGATAAAAAGCATGCAAACTCAAAGTTGCTCTCACAGCTTTTGTCAACTGTATTGACAGAAGATCTGGTTCCTCTTATACACAGGAGAACCAGCTTCCTGATAAAAAGATAATCTACATCTTTAAATGAGCTCTAATGAGAATAACCAAGATTAATCAATAATTTTGTTGATTGCATCACTTTGTATGAGTACTGCAGTTACACAGTGTATCATTAGTTCTTCAAACTAACGTTTGTCAGTTTATCTGCGACAGTTTTATAATAACAATGGAGTTTTAGGTCAAACCAAATGTTTTTTATCTCAACATCATAGAACCGAAATGAACTCAATCATTTCGAGCTTTTGCGTTACTCCTGCAAAAATATAAAAGTTCGAAATGATTAAGCTAGTTAACTGTTTGTGTTTGTTGCTTTGTATTACTATTCTGAGCTGCCACCTTGTTCCTGAAATCAACATTGAACAAATTTAGAATTGTTGTTATGAAAGTGAAATTTGTATCGATTGATACTGAAACCTATATGCTTAGCATCAGCTGCCTCTCTGCCTCTCTGCCTCTCTGCCTCTCTGCCTCTCTGCCTCTCTGCCTCTCTGCCTCTCTGCCTCTCTGCCTCTCTGCCTCTCTGCCTCTCTGCCTCTCTGCCTCTCTGCCTCTCTGCCTCTCTGCCTCTCTGCCTCTCTGCCTCTCTGCCTCTCTGCCTCTCTGCCTCTCTGCCTCTCTGCCTCTCTGCCTCTCTGCCTCTCTGCCTCTCTGCCTCTCTGCCTCTCTGCCTCTCTGCCTCTCTGCCTCTCTGCCTCTCTGCCTCTCTGCCTCTCTGCCTCTCTGCCTCTCTGCCTCTCTGCCTCTCTGCCTCTCTGCCTCTCTGCCTCTCTGCCTCTCTGCCTCTCTGCCTCTCTGCCTCTCTGCCTCTCTGCCTCTCTGCCTCTCTGCCTCTCTGCCTCTCTGCCTCTCTGCCTCTCTGCCTCTCTGCCTCTCTGCCTCTCTGCCTCTCTGCCTCTCTGCCTCTCTGCCTCTCTGCCTCTCTGCCTCTCTGCCTCTCTGCCTCTCTGCCTCTCTGCCTCTCTGCCTCTCTGCCTCTCTGCCTCTCTGCCTCTCTGCCTCTCTGCCTCTCTGCCTCTCTGCCTCTCTGCCTCTCTGCCTCTCTGCCTCTCTGCCTCTCTGCCTCTCTGCCTCTCTGCCTCTCTGCCTCTCTGCCTCTCTGCCTCTCTGCCTCTCTGCCTCTCTGCCTCTCTGCCTCTCTGCCTCTCTGCCTCTCTGCCTCTCTGCCTCTCTGCCTCTCTGCCTCTCTGCCTCTCTGCCTCTCTGCCTCTCTGCCTCTCTGCCTCTCTGCCTCTCTGCCTCTCTGCCTCTCTGCCTCTCTGCCTCTCTGCCTCTCTGCCTCTCTGCCTCTCTGCCTCTCTGCCTCTCTGCCTCTCTGCCTCTCTGCCTCTCTGCCTCTCTGCCTCTCTGCCTCTCTGCTTCTCTGCCTCTCTGCCTCTCTGCCTCTCTGCCTCTCTGCCTCGATTTTCTCTGCCTTCTGCCTCGATTTGTCTCTGCCTCAATTTCTCTCTGTCTCGATTTCATAACGTCAGCATACCTGCATACCTGTCACTATGCTTGTTCAATGTCACCTCCCTCATGAGATGTGCCCGACTGATACCAAGTGTACTTAACTTGCTCCTTCATAATACCAAGTGGTCCTGCAACTAATGATCCATAGCTACATTTCAAGGCTCAAATCACTGTCGTTCTAATGGATTGCATTCCGTTCTTTTAGTCCAGGTTTCGATATTGATTGTTATCAGTTTTACACAACTGGAGGAGGGTTCTGGAAACATATTATTAATACTACAGGTTGTTTGTTTCTGAAGCTTTCAAATTAAATGTGTTAATCTTCTTCTGCTTTTGATCCTTCCTCATTTTAGTTTTTCAATCAGAATCGGTGCTCAAAATAAAAAAATGATGCACGACGCGAAAAGCTCCCGTTTCAAAAATGATACAAAGAGCTTTACTTATCGAAGATTGCCCAATAATTTGCATGTTTCATAATCAATAATATAAATAACGACCCCTAGACGGAAGAATGGCAGAACAGGGAGGTGACTACCCTGCCGTGGTCGTAGCTGAGCCTGTAAGTCTACATTCATTACTTTTATTAAGTGGGGGGTCTACAATCTACATTTACAGAAAATTTTATTAATCAGCATCGGCGACTGTCAAACTATCGCCAGCTTTTGTGTTCGAAAATTCCTGATTGATCTTTAAACTGCATGCTTGATCTGCCAACGCGATGCTTGTCAAATAATCATAACAAAATTATTATAAAAGTCTAATTCAGCCTGCAGCTGCTAGTGTAACCGAAAACGTGGTTGTAAATGAGCAACCCGCACCGGTTGCTACTGAACAACCAGCCGCACTGGTTGCTACTGAACAACCCGCACCAGTTGCTGTTGAACAACCCGCACCGGTTGCGGAAGAGCAGCCTGCAATTGTTGTCGATGACTACGAGCAGGCTATCAATACACACAAGCCCATAGAAGCTGAATATGGGCAGCTTGAGCTGACGGCTCTAGGGTCATCTGAGGGAGTTCAGCCACCCGTGGAAACGGTTGTTGTACCTGTAGCGGCTGCTGTAGAACCATCAGTAGTTGAAGCTGCAGAACCAGCAGTAGTTGCTGCTGTAGAACCACAAGTGGTTCCAGATAATGTCAAAGTAACATTTGAAGAACCGCCTGCTAGAACCGCTAAGGATGAACCAGCAATAGTAGATGTTGAACTCTTCTATAATGACACCGAGCAAGCTCCGCTTGTTAATGTTGAACCAGTGAGTGTGATAATGCTAAGCTAGAGAGGCAACTAAATGGTACCCGGTACCGCTGCTGAGCTACGCTACCAATTGTGGTGAATGGTACAAGGGAACCAACGTATCATTTACCATTAAGGAATGGGGTGGAAACTAAAAACTAGAGATAGATGTAAAACGCATGGCAATCTAAGAAAGTTATTACCTTATCTTATTTGTTATCATGAAAAGTTTGAATCGCCCCAAACAGTCGTGTTCCAGCTACCTTACAGCGTACAGAGACTTATTTGCATGAGTGTATAACTATACTGTATGTTTCATGCCACCTTTAAAATCAGTTATCACCAATGCATGCAGTTCAAAATGAGAACAGTTTAAAATAAAGCCAGAATGATCTACCAGCTACTACAATATTTATCATTGCTGAAACTGCAAAATTAATGCTTGGATTTAAATGTAAATCCAGATATTTATCATGTCATTTCAGATTTAGACAAAGCTTCCCGACGAACTGTTAAAGATGCGTTGATAACGTTTGTAGAAATTAACTTTATCAAAATGTAATTATGCAATGCAATTATGTAATTATGCAATGAATTTCAGGTTGGACAACCCTATCATCCACCTCACGAGCATTATGAACAAAAGAGAACGACAACAACCAAAAAGGTAATTATTGAGTTATTCACAATAATGAAACCCCATAAAATTCGAAATCATTGCAGTGCCATCCACAAAAATGAAACATTACAATCCACCTTACACATTACATTACATTACAATCCACCTTACACCTTACATTACATTACAATACACCTTACAGTCATCCAAGAAGAAGCCGAAAGGATCTCGACACATTGAGCTGATGGAATGGCTGCCAACTCTCCCCCAACTGTTCGCATACCTCGGTTTCACTCAGTTCCTGCTAATGTTCTGGGTATTTGTTGGGGAGTGCGCCAGCGATGTTGGGGCTACTTGGAATCTCGTTATGATGTGGTGAGTTTAGCGCTGTTTGGGAGATGATTATTAGTCTTGCTGATGATAATTGGTCTTGCTGACGATAATTAGTCTTGCTGACGATAATTAGTCTTGCTGACGATCAACAAGATTGGATTTTATTTTGGATAGCTAAAGCATGATGCATGGTATAATCAATTTCTTTCTCTTTTTGTGAATGCCTGAATCAGGAAATTTCAGGTTGATGGTAGCTACTTCCACTATCCTTTTTGGACTCTACCAATACTTATTCAAATTCAATATCCTAAAATCAATATGCCGCACCACTGCTGCATTCCTAGCGTTTGTCTTCATCATGTATGCTCCAAGCATGTTGCACCCCGGTTCCACCGCTGCTAAATCCATATTCGCTCTTATAAAATTCCTGATAATAGCTGCTATTACCGTGTTCTATGTGGCTGTGTACTTTGATGATATTGCTCCCCCTGCTAAACATGTGCCGCGACGTGTGCGACGGCTTTTATACAAGTAGAGAGAGAGAGAGTGTGTCCTCAGTGGCTGGCTCACTGCTCAAGTACGTTTTATTATTATATTATTGCAAACCCCGATTTACCGCGGATTTTTCTTTTCCCCCAAGCTCCGCGGTAAATTGGGGTTTTATTTTATATTTAAATTCACCGATGGGGTAACCTGAATAAAGGCATCATTGTGATTAAGTTTACTTTTTGGAATTAGTTTGATTTCCTTTCGTTATTGTAACTAAAGCTCCGCATTTTGAGATTTTGTATTGCCTTTTTGCTTTCTACTTGAGCGGTGATGCAAGTCACAAGTGCGACAATTCACACAAAAAGGTATTTGACATCTTCGCCGTTCTTCTTCCTGCCTTACAAAGTTACCCCATCTGTGTCATTGACTCTTGTTACCATGGTTACAAACCCATGTTACCATTGACTCTTGGGTCCTTACAATCACAGCTAACAGATTGTAATTTTTCAGAGAAATTAAAAAACACATTACTATCAGCTGATATTTTCGTTAATTGAGCTAATAAAATGAAATTATTTCAGGCTCACAGTAGTAATCACAACAGCACTGTACTTCGTCTACAACCTTCTCTCCGCAAAGAAGTGTCCTCTGAGATCCCTTTCTGCAACCATCTTCTCCTTCACAGCCACCCTCTTCCTCTTCCAATTCCCCATCCTCCTCTCCTCTGCAGACGACAGCACTGGTGGGAGAATCGTGTTGGCACTTTTCCGGATGCTGATAATCGCGCTTGTGGTTGTGATCTTCAGTGTGGCGTACATAGAGGATCTGAGGAGTGGACCCGCTGACCCGGAGCCGGGTGAAGTGGTGGTGAGCAATGGTAGAGCTGAAGCTCAACCTATACCTAACCCTCACCCTTATCCGACTACTATCGGCAATGATTACGCAGCCGAATGATAATTATGAGGTGATCGCTTAGTGGAGGAGGGTTTCTTTTTAAAACATGTTTAGGGAGAACTTGGTTAGGGAAAACTTGGTTGTTAGGGAAAACTTGGTCGTTAAAAAGAACTTGGCTGTTAGGGAGAATTTGTTTGTTTAATACTCAAAATATTGCGGAGGACATTTCAGTTTTATGATATGTAGTAAAAATTTTCAGCAAATTTACATTCAATCAACACCATATTTGATTTATGGAGTTAGGGGAAAAGTTGGCAGTACCTAACATATTGTGAATAAATGGTCATTGTAGTCATAAGTATATAAGTCATATATCCCTGTCTTGCAAAATTATTTGATCGGCATGCAATTTATTTAAAAATAAAAGTTTATGAAATTTATAATAATTTTAGGTCAGATTCCATTTAAAACAGTAAAAATGTGTTCATAAGAAAAATGCTGTCTTTTCTTCTATTATTATTTAATCATACTTCTAGTTTCGGGATAGTCTGTAGCAGGCAACGCCCGATACTTATAATGTATCTACAGACTTACACAAGTGCAAGTAAGTTGGTAAATATTTCATGCTAGGCATGTGGCACCCATTACGGCAACCATCCATTGACGTTTTTGATGGTGTCTTTTCTTCAGACTATATAAAATCTAAAATCCCATAATGAATGAATAATTGTGATTACTGTTAATAAGTAAGGTAATTAACTTTATAGTCTCCAGCCAGAAATACTTCCGGTAAAATCGAAAAGGCAGTTTAACATAAACACAATTCACACACTCATATGATACAGTATTTGGTATGACTGTACTTCACACATCATATGATAAAGTATTTCGTATGACTGTACTTTCAGTGCCAGCTTCAGTCTGTCTCCGGACATCCATCAAGGCTGAGAACATGGAAAGATATCCCCTCTGCCAAGGCATCAGTACTTGCCTCCAATTTGACATGGTTGAACTAGCCATGATAATCCCCACACAGATCCTTGAGTCTGCAATAGCATCCAGGAGGAACTTTGAGACGGGCATCACCGGAGCTAGAAGATGTCCAAAGACCCAGGTAACGATATTGACCGCTAGGAGAATCACAGTAACGATGAGACACCTCCTGAGGAGTGTGTTAACTTCCGGCATGTCCCTCTCCTGGTCCCTTACGAATCTGATGAAGGGGATTAGTAAGGGTATTATAACCAGACAGTGGAGGAGGAGCTGTACAGACTGGAACACAGTGCTCACTATCATGGGGACTGGGTCCTTGTGTTGCAGCTCTGATAAACCTTTCAATAACCCTCCTCCAGCTTCCGTCAGGTTGACAGGGAGGAATCCACCAATAGGGGCTAAAGAACTGTTAGTGAATCCACCAATAGGGGCTAAAGAACTGTTAGTATAATTCTCGTAACAGAGATGATGATCTACCAGGTAGTTGAACTGGTGGTGAAGTAACCAGAAGTTGGACACACTGTAAACAGTGTAGCCTACAGGGTAGCTCAGTATCAGGACCAGGAGGGAGAAGTTGAGGACACGTGCTTTTGTTTCGTTGGAGATGAAGAGACCGCTGAGAATGGGGTTTAGGTAAAATGTTTGGCTGCGGAACCAGAAGAACAGAATTCCCAACGCCTGAAATAATTGTACTATTTAATTTCAATAATTTTGATGCGAAAACCCAAAAATAGTTTATTGTGACATTTATACAAAATTTAAGTTGAAGTTTTTGTAAAAAGTGAGATCTTTTTATAAAGTTATAATTAGTCAGATGTTACTTATTGTAAATTGACTTATAATTGGCATTTCAAGACACAAACTGACGTTGAATAAGGTTATAATTATATAGTCTGCACTCTGCACGTGCAGCTTATTCATATGATTATAACCTCATTCATTGATCATACACCTCAAAACCATTCGTATCAAAATTTGACATATTCCGATTCTCCAAGGCTTAAAAACCAGAGCTCACGTCATGCAACTAAAGACAGTCGAAAATTTGGCGGTTTAACAAATAATTATATAATTAAGTGAATATCACAACGATTAATTAAATAATTAAGTGAATATCACAACGACACGCCAGTATCCCACGTTAACCACTGTTTAACTTTGTAAGTATTCGTTTACCTCGGATACTGCACTCAGCGTGTTGCGGACACGTTTCCAAGCCATGCAGTTTTCCTTTATCCAGTGTCCATTTTTACATTCTAGTATGTTCGCTTGATTCCATACGTTTTCTCCTTTAAATGATGAGACAAATTTGTTATTATTTTGTTTAAACACAAACCTAAAGTTATCTTCGAACCGAAAAAATGTAAGCACCATAATATATTTAAAAGTGTTTTTAAACACAATTTGGGAACACTTTAAAAGCCAGTGTTCCCATTGTACTAGAAGTAGAATAGAAAAGAAGTAAGGCTACTAACCAATAAAAAAGAGCGGTGTAGCTGCCAGGCAAATGTGCATAGATAGGGGTCCCCGGAGTCCTTCCAGTCGTAACCTCCTCCAGTTCAAGGCAATAAAGAAAACATTTAATATACCGATGTAAAGAGAAATGAGCAAGTATAAAATGGATGTACCTTCCAGGAGAGCAAAGTCTACGAGGACGTGAATATGTTTCGGTTGATGTGTCATATTAAAATAAACGATGTACAACTGTGCAGAGAGTTCTCAGTACTTTAAGTTTAGTAAAGGTGACACAACCACATGGTCGAAAGCAAAATGAAAATGTTAAGATATCCTAGAGTAAGTACTGATAACATTAACTTTTTAGGGTGTACCATGATACTGGGTGACTCTCTCTCTCTCTAGAGTAAGTACTGATAACATTAACATTTTAGGGTGTACCATGATACTGGGTGACTGCATGCTTTATCTACTAAGCTGAATTTAGTCTTTAGTGTCAAATTTCATGCCACAGAAATAAGACACCATGAAAATTGTCCTTATAGATGTTATCGAGAACTTTTAGATCAAGAGCTGACCACAATAATTTCATGCCCGGATGCGGTAATAATCTGAAAGTGACTGTAAATGAACGCATTATGTAGTACTAGCAGGAACTCGTATAACCCTAAAATGGTGTCAAGACTCAAGAGACTAAAATAATTATTATCTATTTAAGACCTCGTTCAAATTTATTTGATTTATTATTAAAAGACATTATGACGAAGAGCATTATTGTGATTGTAAATAAAAGATTTAGTTTAAGTAATTTCAACGATTTAGTGTACAAAGCTCATGATAGACGTTTATGGAGAAGCTATCCGGGTGAGTCGAGACTACTCGGCCACTCGATTTTATGATTTATTTTCTATTATCTTGTGTTTGCTGTATATAGTTGATTAATAATAATAATATTTAATTCGCGTTTTTGACACCACTTGGGGGTCCAAATTTTGGGCTCTAAAACTCCTATTCCTTGGCCAATTTTTTATTTTTTAATGCTGATTTGGAGGCCATTAAAGTATTTGACCCAGTCTAAAAAGTTTCAATCGTATATCTTTTACGGTTTTTGCGGAAAGTCGCGTTAAAGTTGATGCCGTGGTGTCAGTAAAATGGTACGGATAAACCCATCCATATATATCGTCTCGCTTTATATATAGTAAGATTTAAACATGCACGGTGTCAGAATCATTCCACATTGTAGAAATGTTGTCCTGAATTTAACTTTGAAAAACTTGTACGACTTTGCATATCCTTCGACCTGTCTGCATCACAAGAAACCCCATAATTCTATGCATACTCTTTGTCCGAAATTTACTATCCGTTTGTGGAAAAATCGGGTCTCGGTCTAAAGACAAAATATTTATTTGTATTTTAGTTCAATATTTGATAATTTTCAGCTTGCATCCTATCCTTTCTGCTTTAGTTTTAACTAGCAGGAACACGGTCTGTCCCAGGAACATGGGTATGAAGGAGTTCAGACGTAACGTTGCCTGTTGGCGCCCCCCGCTGAAAAAGCGCCCCCCTGTTGGTGCCTCCTCCCTAAAATTGGATTTGGACAAATTAGATGATTTTAGAGGTTGTGCCGACTGCCGGTAAAATCTCTAAAAAAGTGTGTTTCTAGAGCAAAATGCGCAATTTTTTTAGTACCGTAGTTAAGTTTTTCCAAAATATCCCACATTCAAACGACGATTTGGCGCCCCCCTAAGATGACGCACCCCCCCCCCCCCCCCCCCCCCCCCCCTTCGTTAGACGTTACGCCACTGGGGAATGTGGCTCACTCTTATGGCAGATACGGTACGGGAAACATTTACATTATTATTTTAGTTTTATATGAGGCACATTGCATGATGCATCATGACTGGCCCTTCAAAAGTCCTGTGACAAACAATAATCCTAAAAAAGCTTTACGTTTAAATTATAAATTATTTTGATCTTCGTTGGATTGAAATAAGTAATTTTGGTTAAGTATGGATCAACAAACGTAACTCTATCATTTTAATAATAGCAATATTTCATCGACACTATTTAAGGGGGGGGGGGGGGGGGGGGGCCAATGGATATTTTTTTGTGAAACTTGATTTCGAGATAATAGTTGACCAACAAACTAAGACCAGTGACCGAACTTTTGAGGGGGTCCCGGACCCCAACCGCCAAACGGTGCGCGCAGGGCAGCCACGCCCATATTTGGCCCAATTTAGCCAAATACCCTGAACATGCCCAAAACCAAGGTTTATGGTGCTCTACTTGTAGCTAGTGGTCTCTTGAACTCGTATATGAAATTTCATCAAGATTGGACGAAAAATGACTGAGTTATGAGCCAAAAACCATATGCCCATATTTGGGCATACGCACCAAATTTGGTAGATTTCGGCCCATAAATTGGTCAAATATCAATATTTTTGAATGAAACTTACTTTATATGAAAGGTAAGCCTAAACTACATATTATCTGTAAGTTATAGCTTTATATCTGTTTAAATGTGGATACTAAGGCGAAAAAACCACAAAAAATGAACTAAATTGCCCATATCTCGGTTCGCGATATTTGCGGAATTGATCTCATTAAAATTGTAACAACTCAATCAGTTTTCAAAATTTTTGCATGAAATTTTCGGAATCGACTCGAAATTGCATTTCCACCTTATTTTAAATACGGATTTTTGATTTAGGCCTCCAAAAAAATTTGGCGGCCAAATTCCAAAATTATCTCACAAAAATTCAGAATTTGGCCGCCAAATTTTTTTGGAGGCCTAAATCAAAAATCCGTATTTAAAATAAGGTGGAAATGCGATTTCGAGTCGATTCCGAAAATTTCATGCAAAAATTTTGAAAACTGATTGAGTTGTTACAATTTTAATGAGATCAATTCCGCAAATATCGCGAACCGAGATATGGGCAATTTAGTTCATTTTTTGTGGTTTTTTCGCCTTAGTATCCACATTTAAACAGATATAAAGCTATAACTTACAGATAATATGTAGTTTAGGCTTACCTTT